CTTGTATTTTGTCTTTTGACCTTTTTTTTAAGGCTAATTGCTGCAGTTTCATGACCCAGTTGAAGAAAATTGATGTTGCCCACGACCCAACATAATTTGACTAGAGTGTGGGCTTCAGGGTGAGGCTGAGGATGAAAACTTTGGGATGTAGGGGGCAGCTCTGGCTTTAGAGATGGGGGATCAGGGCTGGGGCAGGAGGGGTTTACCTTGAAGCAACTCTCAGCCAGCAGTGCAGTGGGGGTGCTAAGGCAGCATCCTGCCTCTCCTGGCATCATAGACCAGGCTGCATCCCAGAAGCAGCCAGCAGCAAGTTCCCAGCCAAGGGGAGTGTGGTGTTATTGCACCTCTCTGGGGTGCAGTGCTCCTCTTCTGATTTTTCAGAAATAGCTCTTTTGTGAAATTGCCCAACTGGGTTGTGCACAGCAAAGTGGAGCTGTACATCTCCCTTTGCGGCCTCCCTAGCTCAGCCGTGGGGAGACAAGTGGCTATTACTTAGATCATGGTCATGCTAAGGAGCCTTAGTCGTGGCCCAGGATCACAGTGTGCTAAGAGCTGGACAAACACAGCACAAAAAGCCCATCCCGCCCCAGTCTACATGTGAAATAGGAGCCAAGAGATGGCTGCAGACAGACAGATGGGAGAGCCAAAGGAAACTGCAATATTGGCAGCATGGTAGGCCGTGGTCTCAGCCCACCAGCAGCCTAACCTAACTATACAGCACACGTGAGTGATACTGAGGCCTCGGAAAAAAGTCAGGATCATTACACCAGCAAGGCTCTTGTTTTCCTTTCTACCAGGGTCTCGGAGGGTATGTCTAGGGGAGGGTATGTCTCTGAGGGTATGTCTCTGAGAGGAGCCATGTAGATGAGTTTACTAGACATAGGGAAATGAAGCGGCGATTTAAATAATCGCCGTTTCATTTACATAAAAATGGCCGCTGCGCTGTGCCGATCAGCTGTTTGGCAGCACAGCAGGGCAGTCTGGACGCGCCGCGGTCAACAAGGGAAGCCTTTGTTGATCGCTCTGATAAACCTCATTCCACAAGGCATAACGAAGCGGTCGACAAAGGCTTCCGTTGTCGACTGTGGAGCGTCCAGACTGCCCCGCTGTGCTGATCCAGACTGCCCCGCAAACAGCTGATCGGCACAGCGTGGCGGCCATTTTGATGTAAATGAAGCGGCGATTATTTAAATCACCGCTTCATTTCCCTATGTCTAGTAAACTCATCTACATGGGTCCGTCGACGGAGCCATGTAGTCTAGACATACCCTGATGGTCCCACCAGTTGCCCTGGGAAGATAGGAGAGCTGGAATGGCCCAGTTTGTTTAAAAACTGAGCTCAGTGCCATTGAAATGCACCACACTGACGGCCACCCAGGAGACAGGACTGCACATTTCTATGGAACAGAGACACAAGCAGCTGCAGAAGAAGTCTATGTCCTTCCCCTTCCTGCCTTCCAATTTACCTCCTCCCTCTCCCCTCCCCTTGATCTAGACCCTGTCATGGAGATGGAGGGTTATTCTTCACTGCTCACTCAGTCTTTGGCATTGTAATTTCAACTACCAGCAAGAGGGATAAATGTGCCAATTGCAACAGGGTTTTTTGCAGTCTTTACAAAGACGCTAACACCAGTGCTGTATAAAATTAACAGCTGGGCTACAGCACAGTGGTGGGCAGCCTACGGAGTGCATAAGGCACATAAGGTTTCTATGTGTGGCCCACAAGACTTTTGTTTACTTTTGCCCATGTGCAGGGTTGCCAGATTCTGCTGGTTTCTATCTGCATCGGGTTTTCCCGACTGGTGTAACTAAAGCGACTTGCACATAACGTCAGGGCTTGTGAAGTGAGGGGCGTGCTGATTGCACACAACACTGGTTGGGAGAGCTCTCTCTGCGACCAATCAAAGCGCTGCTACAGTTCAATGGGCACACCCCGCAAATTCTAGGTATGCAAGTGCAGTGAGCAAAACTGCCTTATCCGGGGAGACTTTCTTGGTTATGCCAATCTTGCGGCCCACTTAGATGAAGGAGGCCACTTATATGGCCCACTCGCCGGCCTAGGTTGTCCGTTGCTGCTGTAGAGCAAATCAGTCAAATCCAGTGAGATGTGGAAATGTCAAAGAACAAATTCTGACTGTAGCACAACCAGATCAGTGATGTAGTTGAGTTAAAATGTCGAGGATTCAGCATTCAGGACCAAAAGGGGAAGACGCGGGTTGCCACCTATTGGGCCATCCTGGTATGTCCCTCTGAGAGGAAGCAAGGCCGTGTGCCAATAAATCTTCACATCGGTAATCATCGCATTTCTACTCAAAGGGGCATGACAGCGCCATGCAGAATGAGATTAGAACAGCCCACTTAGCCTGGTTTAGAAAAAAATATTGACCCAAACCTTTATCTTTCCGAGAGCCTTCCACCCAGCTTTACAAGTTCAACCCCCTGCAAGTTTGGAATAGTTGTTCCCTGTATTGCAGACAGGGAAACTGAGGCGTGAAGAGGCACAATCACTTGCCCAAAGTCACACCGTGAGTTAATAGCAGAACTAGAAAGAGGACAAACATCGGCTGACTTCCTGTGCTGTGTGTTAACCACTGTGCCATGCATCCTAGAGCGTGGCTCAGAAACTGATCTTGTGAATAATAGCCGCAGTGTGGTGTGGCCAAAATTACTGTTGTGTGTCTGTGCACGTGTGCATGCAGCACTGACTCATCAGCTGCAAATACTGGAAAGGAAGATGGGTTGTTTTTTTTTTTTAATCCTTTGGGGTGGGGAGGAAGAAGCCAATTCCCTGGGAAACACTGGACTATTTTTAACTAAGTGTGATGTGGACTTCCAATGGGGCCCCCAAATCTAAATGAAGACCCTGTTGTGAGTCCCGCAGCATTAACAAACAAGCCTGTCCCACGACCGAGAACAGTGGGAAGTGCAGACTGTTGCCGTAGATAATCTAGTGGCTGACGGGCGCCCCAGCTTGGTTACAAAGCAACTATGACTGTAGTAAGCGGGGCTTGAGTCCCTCTGACTGGAACACTGAGGGGCCCATCTTGTTTGCCAGCCGGTGGCCAGGGAGGAGGCTGGTGTACCCAGCTGCAGGATCCCCTCTCCTGAGACAATTCTGATAATCCAAGACCCTCGATGAGATACCAGCTGTGATCCTCAGGGTCTCGGAGCGGCAGCTCTTCCAGCCTAACACAACTCTCCCTGATCAAGCACTGCATCTGCAGGTCGCTTTCCTTTGACTGAGCCAATAGGGCCCAAGAGAGAGCTGGTCTTAGCTGAGAGTCAGCCATGCACCTTCGCATCAGGCCTCCTGGCTAGTAACAGAGCTGCTTCCACCAAGCTCTCAAGCATTCTAGCCAAGTGATTTTTCAGGGGATCCTATAAAAGCCAAGGTAATAAACAGGAGGAGGGCTTTTGATTAATATTTAACTGGATAGCTCCTCAGGACAGGGGCTGCTCTTCCTCTATCTCAGCCGTTTCCGGGGCAATGGGGACCCATTTTGACAATTCAGGAAGACTTGGTGACCCAAGGCAATTCAAAACATGTGTGACTGGCTCCTTACGAGCCACCTGGGGAGACATCTGGCGACCCTTTTGAAATGTAATTGCGACCCATATTTGGGTCCCGACCCATAGGGTACGTCTAAACTACATGCCTCTGTCGGCAGAGGCATGTAGATTTGTTTTTTTGGCAAAGGCAAATGAAGCCGCGATTTAAATGATCGCGGCTTCATTTACATTTACATGGCTGCCGCGCTGAGCCGACAAACAGCTGATCAGCTGTTTGTTGGCTCAGCGCGGCAGCCATGTAAATGTAAATGAAGCCGCGATCATTTAAATCGCGGCTTCATTTGCCTTTGCCTATGTGTCTAATCTACATGCCTCTGCCGACAGAGGCATGTAGTTAAGACACAGCCATAGGTTGGGAACCCCTGTTCTATCTTCAGCACAGTAAGGAGTATGATCCCCCTGCCATGCAATTAATCATCACCACTGATAATCAGCCCTCTGTTCCCTTTGGGCAGTGCTTTCGGCACTTGTACCCTGGCACGTGCTGAGAGCACGTACTCAGATTCTGTTGACGGACAGGGGACTGACTGCAGAGCTGAGCCGGCTGTTCTCCGGTGGGAGGGTGTGGTCATTTTGCTGCTTGCTATTGGGTTTATAGTCACTCCTTGATTCAAATCTACAAACAGGTATGAGAAGAACACAGCAGTAACACGCCAACTCCTATCTCATGTATGTACTTGCATGTGTGTGTCCACATGCATGTAAATATACAGTCAGGAGTGTGCAATTCAGTCTCATGAATGATCCAAAAGGGACATGCCATGAATAGTCATGAGGGAGTGTAAGCCAGTCCCTGGGTTACGTACAAGATAGGGACTGTAGGTTTGTTCTTAAGTTGAATTTGTATGTAAGTCGGAACTGGTACATATTGTAGGGGAAACTCTAGCCAAACATTTCTCCAGAGCTCAGTTTTATTCTCCTGCACCTCACTTCCCTCAGTCCTTTATTCTCAAGCTGAGGTGTCTGCTGAGAAAAGCCGCTCCGCGTCCCCCTGGTCTGTTGGGGGGAGGGGACGCTAGCTTCGCATCTCCCTGGTCTGCTGGGGGTAAGTAGCTAGTGCGGGGTTGCCTCACCCCGTTTTTAAGTAGGGATCCGATGTAAGTCGGATCCATGTAACCCGGGGACTGCCTGTATTGACAACCCGCTTGACAAAGGGATTTGAATTTGGAGACAAAGAGGTTTGAATTTTCCAGCTAAGCTCCTGGACTTCTGTGTGCAGTTGTTTCAGCCGTCCTTTCATGTACACAGCTGTGCCCAGAAGGAGCTTGTTTCTGTCTCACAGCTTCCCGGGCAGCTTACAGCGGGGTTTTGTTTTTTCCTCTTGGACAGATTCCTTGGAGTTTTGCACAGAATGCCTTTGAACGTATGGGAAAGAAGAGGCTGCCGGGAGTTTTAGAGCTTTGCATTCCTCCGGGAGTTGTGCCTGTGCTCGCATGCAAACGCCACCGTCTCCCCTCCGCTCCAACTATTTTAATCATTTCAAAAAGGGTGGGTCATCAGGCATTTGGCAGTGGCTCCTTTTATATAGCTAAGGTGGAGTCAGCCAATGGCCTGCAAGCCTGGAAAAATTTGCAGGGCAGTTTCCCTGGACAGCTTTGCAGTGCCGTGCCATTTGAATTTAAGCACGCACATACACACACACACACACACACACACACAGAGCCGGGCTCTGTGCTCTCCATTTCTGGCTTGCCTCCCAGCAGAGTTGAGTTAGGGCTCGGGTTCAGTTTTTTCGTCTCACTCTGCTCCCTGCAGCAACCGCTTCTCCAGGCTCTGCTCGTCGGGACTCCCAATCAATCATGGCGGACACTCCTCTGCAAATTATTGAGCAGCCAGCTCCCTCCGAGACCTCCGAGGAGCCAGCAGCTGAAGATCCAATTAAATCTGACCAGATCAATGGTGTGATGGTACTCACCCTTCTGGACAAGATCATCGGGGCGGTGGATCAAATCCAGCTGACCCAGACTCAGCTGGAGGAAAGGCAGCAAGAGATGGACAGCGCAGTGGCCAGCATCCAGGGGGAACTCACCAAGCTCACCAAATCACACACCACCACCAGCAACACCGTGAACAAGATGTTGGAAAAAGTCCGCAAGGTGAGCGTCAACGTGAAAACCGTCCGGCAGAACCTGGAGAAGCAAGCTGGGCAGATCAAGAAGTTGGAGGTCAATGAGGCCGAGCTGTTGAAGCGAAGGAACTTCAAAGTCATGATCTATCAGGTAAGAGACTTCCCAGGCACCGTTAATGTGCATTTTCAGTGCTAACGGTACCACCACAGCGGGTTAGAATGATGGTGGCTTAGCTCACACAGCTCCCCTAGATCCATCCAGCATTGAAGTTCTATGATTCTATAATTCTAAGTGTGCCATACATAGGGAGCTGAACAGCACATAAGACAGAAAGTTTAACGTGATAATTTATTGCACTTCAGAGAAAATGAATACAGGAAATTGCATAAAGAAGCTCAGACTAGCCTCAAACACCCTCCTGCAAAAGACCAACAGAGTTTGGATACCTAGCAGAGACAGCTGTTTAACTAAAGGAGGAATAAATGTGTACTAGGAGCTGGAGGGGGACAGTTTAAATCGGTCATTGCAGACTAGCAGGGATGAGGTCCTTAGTGTGACCAGACACAGTGGGGCTTGCGTGGGTTTATAATATGCATCCTGCAGCAATACCATGGAATAATATAACTCCAGAGTGATGTTTAACATCATACTCCCGGTGGACATAGTAGAGACATTAGACAGAAAATGCAGTGCACATTGAATTCATCCACACCCCCTTTTCCGAAGCCTTGGATCAGCTTTTGCCACATTGTAAAATTCAATATGATCCAGCGCGTGTTACAGATTCCTTCAGATCCTAGGCATTCCAGTCATTCAGTTTCACTCTAATGGAGACTCAGCCGCTGCTCCCCTAAGAGCTGAACTCGCCTTTAATCTTTTAATATTAAACAGGCAAACAAACAAAACAAATGCAGCCAGTGGCTCCCACCTCCTCTTCCTCTACGTGTTGGGGTTTAGCTTCGCTTTGCAGAGCTGGGGAAGCCGAAGAGAAACCACATGGGACAGTTTATGAGATAAGGATAGTTAGAAGCATCTGGGTTAATAATAGATGGTGTGAGGGATAAATAGAGAAACATCCACTGCAGCTCACAGGGAAAGGGGGAAGAAAAACCCCATAAAATCCACAGCACTTCTTACTAGCGTAGTTTGAAAGGGGATCTAGTCAGGCGGGTTCTGGGGAATCTAGCAAGTAGCGGGACGGATAGAGTTCTCTGATTCACCACTTAAGCATTTATAGTTATATCATGGAGGCTGAAACACTCAAAGATACTAGGTCACGTCAGCCGCCTAAACAGATTTATAAATACTCTTATCGGAAGCTCTGAGTCCTGGGCCTGCATAGAGGGTTAGCGCCAGCGGCGAAAAACGGAGGGTGGAAACAAACCATGGGACGGGAGGGGAGTGAAAGGGGAAGCTCAGGCATACCATCTCTGGCAGGTATTTCAAAGCAGCAGGGAAATGGCCAGGTCCTGATTCCTGGAGGACTGGCACCATGACAGCCTGCTCTTTATTGTGTGCTCTTGGTTGTGATCATTGGAGATTCCTCATGCAAAATAAATAAACCAGTCCAAAACACCCAATCCTGCTTCCACTGAAGGCAGAACTCACATCAGTTTCAGACTCAGCTCCTGAGTTGGAATCAGTTGAGAGAGGGACAGAGGTGAGACTTTCTGCAGCTCAAAGTTGTTCTGTAAAAAATGGGGAGAACGTTTTGAAATCCAGACCGAATAACTCAGTGTGGATTTCCGCATGGGATACCCCCACCCCCCACTTAAGCGTTAAAGCCCGAGGATAATACTGAAGGGCTGTTTCATGGAAAACACAGCCTTGCAAGGACTTTAAAAAATGCACGACCTTTCATCACACAGTAGAGTTTGCACAACTCTGTCCTTGTGCCCAGAACAAGCTGCAAGAGTAAGAGTTGAAGGAGGCCTGGGGGCAAGGGTGCGGCTTAGTGCACAAACACCACTGAGCCGCATGAAGCTCCTTTGTGGAGGAGAAGTCATGCATAGAGTCCTGGTCTGGAGCGTGGGCAGGACAGCAAAATCCATGGGAGTCCCTGACTTGAAGTGCCTGAGAGCGAGGGTGGGATGGACAGCAATAATCGTTATGTTTTAACTAGCACAACACTGACAGCCCTCTCTAGCACTCTGCTGCTGTGTTAGCTGTGTCAAAGGTGATCCTGTAATGAGCATTATGACTACCACTGACAGATCACAGGGAATCCCCTGGAAGAATTGGGTGTATTTTTCCAGGCCACTTTCCCCTGCATACAATGGAAAAATAGCTTTGCAGTCAACAGAGAAATTTTCACACTGGTGTCAGCCTTTACTCTTTCTGGATGCTTCTGCTGGCCCATGGGGCCAGCTTTGAACGATTCGCAAGGCAAGAACTATGATTTTTTCACAGAAGAGCTGATTGGGTATTAAAGAATATCACTCTCCCATCCTTTGCCCTGCACTAATCATTCATCAGTTATCCCCTAGTGAGTGGTCCCCAAGGCTGTATGGTTCTGAGGCTGGGGTTAACTGGCAGTGTTTACAACATCTAGGGATGTCTCATGGTTGTGTAGTTGACAGGTTTGCCCCAGGAATGCGGGGAGGGAAGGTTTTGGCCAGGCAGATTTCTGTTTTCAGAAGTTGTGTAGCTGTGTAGTTACCCATCTACAGGGCTGAGGTTCTTCAGCAGTTTCTACCGCAGCTTGCTTGTATGAAAGACTACTGGCAAAAATATCGGGTTGCAGGGCCCAATTTTGGGTCACTCGTTTGAGTAGCCCTATTAAAACCGATGGTTCTACTCCTTTGAGTAAAGGAAGTGGGATTCAGCTCAAGGCGTGTGCTAGGAGAACCAAGATTAACACGCTTCGTAAATTGATAACTGATCATGATCTTAGAATTTATAATATTTATGACAAATCAGATTCTGTCTCTTTGCATATGCTGAAACATGCCTTTTGTGTCAGGAGCCCTGTGAATGCCCACAGGATTACTCATGGGCTAAGTACTTCTTCATCTATTGAGTAACAATTATTGTGTGTTGTTTGCAAAGCGCCAACAGCTGTGACACAATCATCATGATACCTATTGCTGTCCTGGAGAGTTTACAGTTGGAAAACTCCCACTTGTGGTTGTAGAAAACCAGCAACGAATAGTCACAGACCAGTCCCAGAGTCCCACAACTCATGCTCAGTGCTTTCCAGAATTCACCTTCAACAGAGGGCTAGTTGGGATGCTGCTGGGGCTCCTTTTGTTCATTTCGTGTTTCTGAACAATTCCATTCTCAACCTTTAACTGCAGCTATTCGTTAAGCAAGTGTGATGCTCTTTCCTGCTCCCTTGTGATTTCAGTAGCCAGGGGTGAAGCATGCAAAGATTTCGGAGTTTGTTTTATTATGGGGGGGACAAATTTGCTTAATAAACCGGCAGGGACAGAGGAGAGGAGGAATAGCCTCTTCCCAGGGGGGTTTGCCAAAGAAGGATGGGCAGGTGGATTTAGTTCAGAAGAAAGCGGCGCCTTGGAGAAGCCGCAGGACGCAGAAGAGAAGTCAGTTTTAATAGGTGAAGGATGCCCGGTTGTGGCATCTAGTGCTGCAAATTACGTCTTGAGAAGTTATGGAAGGAAGGAATGACACTGAGTGCAAGCAAGACCCCTGGGACTACATGTGGCAGGAGGGCAGATTAAAGCCAGTGCCCTGTTGTGGGACTGTCCTTATCATAGGAGCACAGAGAAAACCAGCGGGGGTTCCTCTGTGTCTTGTTGGCAGCTGAATGTGGTCTGGAGAGCTGAGCATCAAGCATGTCTGTCTTGTCCGCCTTAGAGTCCGGGAGAGAACACGCAGTACTAAAAAGCAGCCACACCCAGGGAACATGCCTGCGTGCACACACACACACACACACACAGGCAGACACAAACACACAGAGACATACACACACACACACTCCACACCCCTACGGTCTGATCGAGCTCCTACTGCCGTGAGGATCTTTACAGTGCCCGTGGCAGGAGTTGGATCAGCCCCCGGGAGCAATGTTAAAAACAAGCAAGCCGATCACAAATGACGCAGCCACCGAGAAGAACGCTGCCTAGGACAAGCTGTGATTCCCGGCCAAAGCACCGTGTTGCCCTAATGTCCCTGTCACAAAGGGGAACGCTGGTGCCCAAGGAGCTGGGTGGCAGAGGGGCTGTGTGCCCATATTTGCAGCTCGCCTCCCCAGAGCGGCTATTAGTGCTGCCTGCCTACCCTTAGGCCATCTGGAAGGCCAGCTTGGGGTCAGAGCTGGGCCGCTTGCCAAGAGAGGCGAGACAGATTGCACCCATTTCCTCATCCAAACAAATCAGGCGCTGGATTCCTTTGGGGCCAGTCCCTACAGCCGCAGGGGTCCTCGCTGAGTTAGAAAAGCCACTGATTGGGTGACTCACCTGGGACAGGAGAGCGTGTCTTGTCACGGCGCAGGAGAACCGCGGCGGCTTCCTCCCCACCAGCAACAAGCGGGCTTGTCCTTCGAAATGACAAGATCCTGCTTTTCAAGGGTCAGATTTTGAAAAGCTCAGCCCCTGGCTCCCAACATGTGTGACCTGCTGCTGAGCTCTGTTCAAACTCTGCCCTCGAGCGGTAGTGCTCGGCCCATGCTGCCCAGTGCCCCCTTTGTCCCTGTCAGGGCGGCTCTGGGTAGGGGGAAGGAAACAGGCACCCAACACAGACCGGCCTGCCCAAACGGATGCTTTCGGTGGAATCGGGCCACACGGGTGTGGTGGGGACTATTTTTCAGAACTTCTGACAGTCCTGAGGAGGCACCTGGCCCATTTCTTTGACTGCAGGGTCTTGTCTTTTCTACTGGGGAGGGCGACTGTTTGAGAGGCCCCCACAGAACGTCAAAAAACCCAGCCGCTCCCCCCCCACCAAGAGGCTGGGCAGCTCCGAGAAAGGCCTGGTGGCAACTGGGGCTGGGCTGGAAAACAGATCCCGGATCCGTGATGTGTCAGTGGGCGGGGCCGGGCCAGGAGTATAAATAGCTCAGCTTGGCGGTTAGGCCTCCCGTGGGCCTTATAGGGCTCCGAGCAGCCTGCAGCGGGGAGGGGCGGACGCGGGACTGGAATCTGGACCCCACTGCAGCCATTCGGCTGTTCCTGCTCTGCGAAGGACGGGCTGAA